TTGGGGTGGTCTGGTAGGTGGTCATTTGTATCCCCCCAGGGCAGGAGAGGTCCGGTCTGGTTCGGTCCGGTTGGGTTCCGAAGTGCCTCTGGTTCGATTCGGTTTGGCTCGGTGTTGTAATATTCTGGTTCGGTTCGGTTCGGTTCGTCACATGTTTGTTTCCAGTTCATAGTTCCTGTTCCAGCTCGGTCCGGTTTGTGTTTCTGCCAGATCGCTTGGTGGACCGCCCAGCGAGTTCTGTCATCCTCGACGGAGGTAAGGAGGAGGAGGAGGATGCCCAGTGTAAAACCAAAAGTCCTCAACGATGTTGGAATTAACCCTCCAAGCTTCCTCTTCATGGGCCTCCACAGCGGTTCTTTTCGATTGAGGGAACTGCCTCGTTGGAAGACAACCGTTTGAAGATCCTGAAGCATGCCAATACATGATTCTCGGGATTTCAACGCCACGTATCAACCTGACTGATGCGTCTTGACGATCCGGAATCGTGCCAGGGCGCCACTTTTGGGACTTCGACACCGCGAACCAACATGATTGTTGCACCCGCATAATCCTTAATCTTTAGAAACGCAATGTTCGGAACGTTGATCATGGGAATCCGTGGAACTCTTGCAAAGTTTGAAAACGAATGTGCGTGGATCTAAGGCGAGAGCCACATTTTGAAAACGACCCGCCCTCAGTCCTCGAAACCCTTGCAAACTATTAGAGAGAATGTGCGTGGCGCTTCGGCGAGAGCCACATTTTGAAAACGACCCGCCCTCAATCCGTAAAGCTTCTGCACATGTTTAAAACGAATGTGCGCGACGCCAAGGCGAGAGCCACATTTTGAAAACGACCCGCCCGCAATCCGTGAAGCTCTCCCAATTTCCTAAAACGAACGTGCGTGGCGCTAAGGCGACAGCCACATTGAAAACCAGCCGCCTTCAATCCGTGAAACTCTTGCACATGTCGACCCGCCCTCAATCCGTGAAGCTCTTCAACATTCTTCAAATGAATGTGCGCGGCGCTAAGGCGAGAGCCACATTTTGAAAACGACCTGGCCTCCATCTGCGAAGCTGTTGCCACTTTTCAAGCTTCGGGGTCATCAATGGTGAGCGCCCGGCCCGCCCTAAAACCTGGAACCTCGGGGTGCAGCAGGAATGGAGGAGGAGGAGGGCCCATGTTTGGCGACTCCCCTCGCCGCAGGCCTCCCGCGGGGGAGGGGTCGCGAGGAAGGGGTCGCGCGGGGCCCTGCGGAGAGGGGTCACAGGTGTCCGGGGTGGTGGGTGTCACGGGGGTCACGGGGGGGCTCCCGCGGGGGAGGGGTCACGGGGGTCACGGGGGCTCCCGCGGGGGAAGGGTCACGGGGGGCACACGGTGGGCCCGCGGGGGAAGGAGTCACAGAGGCCCCGCGGGGGGGGGGGGGTGCGTCACACACAGGGGTCACGGGGGCCACGGGGGGGAGGGGTCACAGGGGTCACGGGGGCCCTGCGGGGAAGGGGTCACGGGGGTCACGAGGGTCCCGCGGTGGAGGGGTCACGGGGGTCACGGGGGGAGGGGTCATCGGGGTCACGAGGGTCACGTGGGGCAGGGGTCACAGGGGTCACGAGGGGCACGGGGAGGGAGGGGTCATAGGCGTCACAGGGGTCCCGCGGGGGAGGGGTCGCAGGGGTCACGGGTGGCCCGCGGGGGAGGGGTCACGGGGGTCACGGGGGGCTGCAGGCGTTATAGCGAAATCTCAGAGGCATCGACGACGACTCGTTGAGTTCACGTGGAGGTTCGCTCGTTAAGGTTCGGTCGGGTCCCGTTGTTTGTTCGTTCTGGTTCGATCGTTCCGGTCCGTTCCGGTTCCGCATCAAAATCGAGGCCGAATCGGTTTGGTTCGAGCATCGAAGACGAACGGTTCGGTTCGGTTCGGGTTGAAATTTTTACCGGTTCACGCTGGCTCGGTTTTCCTGGGATCCCCGCGGGGGCCCCGAGGAGGGAGGAGGTCCGCGGCGGCCCAGAGAAGAGCAGCGGCGCCCGAGACATCCAGGAGTTGTGAGGGGAAGGGTTAAGTCGGGCATGTCCCTCTACAGGAGGATAATTCAAAAATAATTAAAACAAACTGTGGGGGGCGATGTTTCGATGGTTTGTTGTGTGTTGGGGCATTGTTTGACTATTCTTGATTTTTCTCCCAAGCTGCGCATGTAGGCGGACACGCCCGACTTACGGGCAAATCCGAAAGAGGATGACGTCGTCATCGCGGAGGGCTTCTTCGCGGAGGACTCCTCCCTCTCGGTGTACCAGTGTTTCGGCGATTCGGCCCGCTGCGTGGGCGGCCCGCCCGGCGCGACATGCGCCGATGGGCGTACGGGGATCACGTGCTCCATGTGCCAGCGCGGCATGAAGAGGGGCAAGGGAGGGGTCTGCAACCCCTGCACCATCACCACGACCATCATCTTCGCGGCTGCGATTGCGGGTGGCCTCTCGGGCCTCCTGCTCATGTACCTCGTCATCGACAGCAGAGGGACCGCACAGCAGAGCTATTCGAACACGCCTCGCGTTCACTCCCAGCCCTTCGTAGTTTTTCGTTGTCTGAAGTTGTCAACTTGCAGACGGGGCGCAGGAGGAGATATTCGGGAGCGGGCATTTGTCCCGAGACCGTGTTGGGAACGAGTTGTACCTCGAGTTCGTTTCGAATTGGGCCGTCTTGTGTCCCGAAGAGCGGACGGAGCGCAGTGGGCGGCGGAATGGCCCAGCCTAGGATGCTGAAGTTTTGAAAGAAGCCCCGGAAGGTCAATATCGCACGCCTCTCACCCCATTGTGCGGGCCGATTGCAGACGGTTTGCGTTCCATAGATGGCCCCAATGCCCCCACAAGTGGGAGAGTGAAGTAGCCTTGAAGGGCCCGAGGTGGCCAATGATCCTTTCCATACGACCCAGAGAACGTCCCCTGTGTTGGGCCTGAGTCCCGTCCGAACGTATTCCACTGCGGGTCCAGATCGGGGCGACCCGGTCCCATATTTGGCCCAAGTTGAGCTCATAATCTTCGAACAGTGGATCTTGGAACACGCCCAAGCCGTCGTATAACTTGCCATGTTTAAAGCAATCGTCAAAGACACGCCCGAAAAACTATTGATAGTCGCCTCAGGGCGACCCCCGGGCAGACCAGCATCATCAGAATAGCAGTTTTGTTTGCAATGTGTTTGAAGGTCCCCGCTTGTGGGAGATGCGGGGAGCGGACCCAGTGATTAGTGTGCCGCGTAAAACCCCTTAGCTAGTCAAGTTCTACTTAGGGGGCAGGTCACCCATGAGGGACATACGAAAGGCCTTTGCAAGAGTCCGAAGGAATTCGAATATCAGTTTCAGCCATATCCAGGACAGCAGCCAGCAAAACACGAGAACACATTACCTCCCGGACGATCACTGAAGGAGGCAAGCAGCAAAACAAAGCAACTAGGCAACAGACCTGAGAAAAGTGATGGACCAATCCTGCAGAGTCCCAGACCAATAAAACCATGGCCGCACTGCGGCCATAACATTGGGAAGGCCTTGCGGCCAGCGCCGCCGACCACGAAGGGGGGCGACGACGACGGCGTCAGGCGATCGCAAACGGCATCAAGGGGACGTGGACTAGCGACGGGTCCGGTTTGCCTGGGAAATCGCAGATTTCCGCCGCCGAGCGAGGCGGCAGCGGCCGCATTTTGGGGAGTGCACCTCCCCCGATCCATGGATTTGGCGACCGCGCGCTAAATCCATGGATCGCTAGGCCATGTTTGCGCGCCTCCGAGCGGGGAGGCGGGGGGACCTGGGGGACACTGAGGGGAGCCGGGGGGAGCCAGGGGAGAGGCGGGGGGAGGCGGGGGGATGAGTAATGTTAGTAAGTTCGATTGTGGAATGATAAGAAGGTGGCACACACACACGCACACACACACACCGCAGGGTCCCAATGACACAATCATGCATGGAATAATCATCACCGTTAATGAATTAACACTGTTACCGGCAATATATACATATAGATAGTGCCAGCACGTGTTGATTGTCTGTCTCTCTCCGCAACTGCGCGGCTTAAGAGGCAACTTTGCATGTCGTGGCTTCCAGCCCTGGCTTCAGCAGTGCCTGCCAACGGAGGCGCTCGAGGCTTCGTTCTATTGCTTGGGATGGACCTCGAATCGAATTGGCACATACACCACAACAAAACTGGTGTTTGGTTATGCTCCTGCTGTCTGCGTTCGTGACGTTGGTCTCCGTGCTCGGCTGTATATGTGGGGTCATTTCTACAGCAATAGCTCAGTGGATGTGGCGTCGTCTTCCTCCCGTGTTGTCCCCAGAGCGTTTTCGCGACGGACTCCAGGCTGTGCCGTCAGCATCTCGTGGTACCGAGCTTGCTCCTGCCCTTTCGGTGGCGGCTCCTGTCAAGCACCATGGAGCGGGGCTCGAAGGTCTTCGCGAAGTACGACGGCCATCCCATATGGCACCAACGACTTTTACTCGAGCAGGTGGGCGACTTGGCCACTGAATGGGTCATCGCGACACCAGACGATGACGTGCACCTAGAGGATTCAGGCCGCCACAATGCTGACATAGAGGGTTTCAGATTCAGCATTTGGCGAGGAGATCTCCGCAGGGTGTTGATCCGCTACCGGTTTCGAGTGGAGCCCGAGGGTGCGCGGCCGCAGGCGTTCGCGAGGAGGCCCGACTGATCGCCCAGTCCGATGCGGCCCGAGGAGGTGGAGCGCCTGCAGCCAATCGGGACGCGCGGTGCGCCATCGAGACAGGCTCGGGCATCATGCAAGGTGCCTTTTAGCAGCTCCACAATCAAGCCCTGGTTCAGGGCGACCATGCCATTCACATTTTCCAGGACAACAGCGGCCAGGATGGCAGGGTCTTTTGCCTGCGGGTGGCGCCTGGCGACATGAGAGACCTCAAGAGGAAATATCACATCGAGGACAGCGGCGATGGTGACGCGAGGGCGCTGCCGATCAATACGGTCGGTGACCAGCGCAAGAGGGAGTTCGGCGACGCAGTCTCGAAGAAGGAGGCGGCCCAGTTCAGCGACTGGGAGACGCAGACCCCAGGCCCGCGGACTACCTTCTGGCACGTGGTGTTCCTGAGGTGCAGGAACGGACCCCTGGCCCATCACGGGCGATGAAGTCGACGGCCGCGCTCACCGGTCAGGACTACGGCGTGTCCTTGCATGAGACGGCGCTTCGCGCCGTGTAGGTTGGCTGCGGGTGCGACCAGCTCGACGTGGTCAATCCTGCGTGGAGCATCTGCTGAGGTCGGTCCAGGTGGCCCCGACAAGGAGGATACACAGGCTTCTGGACGGGCCTCGACTTGGGGAAGCTGACGGCCCTGCCCGGCATCCGCCAGAACCAGGGGGGCCCGATGATTGCATCCGAGCTGGCCGCCTACACCTCGAAGCAACTCGACCCCCAGAGTGCGATCGACATGCTGTCCCGCAGGGCGCGTGCGGGGCGCGTTCTGCGGAGGAAGTCATGGTGGACCTGGTCGACCAGGCACTTCCCCGCGCCTGGTCGGCGCCTCGGGGGGAGGGCCGAGCCGACGGCGCGGCAGCTCGAGCGGCTGCAGCGAACGACGGGCCGCATCGCCCCAGCGGGCGTCGCGCCAGCGAAGAGTCGCACCAGGAGACGGGCGCAGGCTAGTGAGAAGGTCTCCGCGCTGAGTCGGGCGCTGACGGAGCTGGGGCGAGGCGATGGCCTCGCTGATGCTGGCAACGGGCAATCTTCTTGCATTACGCTGGTCGTAGATGACATTCTAGCCTCCCGGGAATGGCGCGCGGGGCCCCCGCCTGAGTGGAACGACCCTCGGGGGGCCTTCTTCGAGCTCCAGGGGGTAGAGGGTCGCGCCGGGGCTCCGTGCCACCTGGCGCCTCTTGACGCGGACGGGCCGTCTCTTCCGCAGCCGGATTTCCAGCAGGGGCCATTGGGCGAGTTGTCGGGGGCCTGCGGCGCCGAGATCAGCGAGGGGCTTTCGCGTGATATCGTCTTGCCAAAGGAGCAGCCGCAGAGAAGTCGTGAGGAAGTTGGTCTCGTCGGGCCCCGCAGCGCCCCGCGTCTGCGTTCTAACAGGTTACCAGCGCGCATTGGCCCGCCATCTGGCCGCTGGCTTGATCGGGGACAGATTGCCGGGCGGATTTCGGCCTGGGTCGCCGACGGGGCAAAGGAGCGTTGGATTTTCGACGCTCAGATTCCTGCAATTTTTCGATGCCCGAGCCCCCATCCCCCCCCCCCCCCGCGGCCAGATTTTGTTTGAGGTTGGGTCTTCCAGGCGAAGGTGCGGCGCATGCATTTGCCTCGGGAATGAACGATGTTTTTGACGCCGCGGGGCTCCCCGACCCCTGGAGGCCATGGACCTGCAGGTCTCGGAGGTTTTTGGGCCCCCCCTGATGCCCTGCACCCTCGTCTATCTTTGTTTCGGGGCAGCGCCGATGATGGCCCCAGTCTGTCAACGCGCGCCAGTATGTTGTCGCGTCGTTGGTTTTCGAAGCGAACCTGGGGAATGGTCTTTTCTCGATCGCGCGTCGGGATGCGATGCCTTGTCTGGGGGCTGGGGCTGCTATCCCACACGGCGATGCCATCGTCGCGATTTTAACTGATGCGGAGGAGGGGGGTTATCAGACCAAGGTCAACGACATCATGGATGAAAGGGCGTCGGTCGCACGCGGCTTGGGCCGATCCAGAGGTTGCCGAGGCCTTGGCGCGGGAGTTCAGTCGGGGCGGGAAGTGCATCGCACCTGGGCGACGTGTTCTGGAGCGTCGGCAAGGCAGTGGTCGACAGCTCCCCCAACTGGCGGGCCACTTTGCGTCTGTGGCGCTGGCGGGAAGAGAGGCCCCCACGCTGCCTCAATGCTGCGTGCGCGTTCATGTCCAAGTATTCTGAGAACTCGGCCACCTTCTGGCCGTCAGTTATTCGATAGCTCCGATGGGCCCCGTCTTTCCTTCTTCTTTTCGCACCTCTTCTTGAACAACCTCACAGCAATCGGGCCCCGGCCTGCGACGCCTCGACGCAGGGCGTCGCGCGCAAGACCTCGCCTTTGGAAGAGATCCGGGAGCATACCGCCAGCATTCGGAGCATTGGAGCTCTCCGGGAACGGCGGGCTCTTTCAGGATCGGCGCCCTCGAGGCGCGTCTCGGCCGGGCGCCGCTGTCCGGGGAATTCGAGGGGGGGATGTCGCGGAGGAGGTCCCGGTGCCAACGCTGCCAGTTACTGGAAAGCGGGAGGGTCGAGGGGTCTCGGGGTGCTCCTGGGGGGTCTTCCACCGCGAGAAGTACCGTGCCCCGAAGCATATCACAGCCTTGGGGTGCCGTGCCTTCGTCTGGCGTTTACGCCATCTTACACGATTTTTTCCTGAGAGATCCCATTGATGTCTGATCGTCGGTGACAGTATGGCGTCCATTCTCGCTCTTGCCCGAGGGCCGCACCTCGGCTCGAGGCCTGGTGCGTCCTGTCCTGCCCGCCAGTTCTGCGCCGTGACCCTCAGGGCCGATGTTATGGCGGACCTGCGCCGGGTCGTCTC